CTCTTGGAAATTAGAAAATGTGTTCTGAACTTACAAAATCTTATGACAGGGACGTGCAAGAAACGGACCCCTGATTCCTGGAATTACCCGTGTATGAATGAACTTAGAAAGTTCCCTCCTCCCCCTTCCGCACTGTTAAGAAGGTTGAGTAACAATTCCTCAAAAGGTTTGTAACATCTGCAGACTGACACATTTTTTACTCCAAAGTATATAGGCTGTGGTAATTCCAAAAATGCTTGTTGGTTTCTGAAAATGGTTTTATTTGTTTGAGAACCATGCTCAAAGTGACCTTTCTGTGCCTTGGTACCTGCACAAATTTTGAGGTAAAAACAAGAAAAGATAAATACTGGTCTGGCAATCATCAGCTCACAAAATAAAGAACGTTTTCCTCATTTGTTAATTTTTCCAGTAATTTTTAAAATGTCCGTTTTCAGAACTGCACTCAAAGTCAGATCAAATCCATTTGATTTGTGTGGCAGCATTGAGAAGAATATATTTCACCTGTCCCCTTTAAAGAAATGTCGTAAGAATATAAAGTCCAGTAAGTTAATGCAAATAGGATGCCAGCAACTTCAAGTTGGCTGCAGGGACGCATTGATAAGGGAATCAGCTCAGTGGCTGTGTCAATAAGATTTATCTCTCCAGAATGAATCCTCCCCAGTTGTTTAGAATTTAAACAGGTGTCAGTGGATGGAACTGTTGTGGTATTTTTTATAGGACAAAGAATAAGTATTGAAAATTGTCGTCTGCTTTTCTGTAGTAAAAAAAATAAAGTTTATGTTGAAAGTGTGTTCTGTACCTGTCATTGAAGTTTTTTGAATGTTAGACCACCATATGAAACCACTTGTGCAATCATGGAAAACGGTACCGCCATTTGTGTTGTTGAATGGACGTTTCTTATCGTTACTTTTCCATTAGCATGCCTGCCTGTAAAGACATCGTTCATCGTTCAAAGTTGAAATTTTTCCAGGGGCCCTTAAGCAGGCCCCGGATCCCATGCCGTGAAGGGCTTCGCACTGCACGCTCACAAATTTCAGCTTTTTTTTCATTTTCTGAGAATCTCGTCCCTGAACGGGGCAAGTAGTATTGTTCTTCTCTTCAATCTGGCTTAGTCGTGACTGGAGTGAGAAGCTGTTTATAGTACAGTTGAATTGGAGGTCGAATATTCGAAAAGTGAATTATTCAAATTGACTCAGCCCTACTCGAATGAGGCAGCAGTCTGCAAATTTGGCCATCTCTTTCATTTTGTGCTGATCTTACGTGTGCACATTTTCAATTCATTGAATCACTCTACAAATAGTTATTTTAATTCTTTCATTTCTGTCTATAGGCCTTTAATTGGGTGCTGTTAGTTTTTAAAAACCAACTTACACATGCAAGTAATATTCTAAATAAGTATATGCATAGTCTTAGGCAGAGAAGTGTAGATAGTGATTTCAATTTGGACATTCACATTATTTTGCAAAACCTCAAGTTCTAACAGTGCAAACACCATTTGTAGTCATAGCCTTGTTCAAGCAAACTGTAATCAGATTCATTCATTCTGAAATTGTCTCATGGCAATGACGGCCGGAGCGTTTAGCAGTGGCCTTCTTATGTCAACATGGGGAGGGAGACAAGTCTCTTGGGAGGGGGTTCTATGAATGCCATTAGAGTGTGGCTATTCATACAACGAGGTATTTACTACATGTACATCATTTGGTTATGACAGGGAGTTGGATAGTGTTGTGTATTCATAGGAGTACAGTATCACTTGGAGTTCATCAAATTTTCAATCTCTTGTGCTGCTTTGTAAAGTGAATTTCATTTCTCATTTTCAGTGTTTTCACTGTGGCTTTTATAAATTCAGGAGTGAGATTTGTCAGGATTTTTCCTTCTTTGAGGATTTTTTTCAAACAGTTTCTTACAAAATCTGGAGTTAACCATTAACCACTTACTGCCGGTTGACCCCATATGGGCCACATTGTTCTGATCCACACAGCCGGGCGGCCTCATGTGGGGACCAGACTGACTGCTATGAGTCACCATAGGCTGTAATCCTCCTATTGTGAAGTACAATGGCATGAAGTACCGCAAGGTTGAGGCCAGCCTGGCCGACAAACGCGTCGCCCAGACTGCTCACTGTTTGTCGTTCCTGGCAGGGCTGAGGGCAAACAAAGAAACCGTTATGTAACACCATAATAAATATAACAATGGTGGTTGTTTTTAAAGCGCCCGGCCACATTTCACTGTCTTCTGACTCCCATTACATGGCATGCATTTCTTGGGTGATTTTTTTCCTATAAAAGTATGGTGACTACGAATGTCAAAATCAAAATCATTTAAAAAGCACCCGGCAGCATGTAATTCAAGGGAATTTTTCCCGGCGTGAAGTGGTTAAGGTGTTTTTCCGCATGAAGTTGATAGAGAACACAAGAAATGGCAATTTTTCAGGAATATCTTGATTAGGCAAGCCTGGATATTTTATTCTCAGTCTCACCCCGTATATTTTATCCAGTCTCATCACCCCTGATAATTGGAAATCAGTTTCCAAGTATTTTTGCAGGCATACTCTTCAGCTCGCAGGATCTATAAACGCACTAGTCTCTTATCTCTGCTTACTTGTTTAAGCCAGATGACAACTTAACTGTGGGAATCTCTGTTTACAGTAAAATAGAACCATTGGGGCTATACTGCAGCATGTCTTTGAAGCTATAAAAAGGAGACGTAGTCAACATTGTACATTGACAGTAGAGGGGATTTTGTAACGATCATAAATGTTGATATCATTGTATCAGAGAGCATCCCAGAATTAAGAACCAAATAGAATTACTGAGACAGCAACTTCCTCAGGCATGCTGGCAAGTCACTTCAAGAATTTTCCAGTCCGTCTTGAGCATTGCAAGAAATCTCGAACTTGGAAATAAAACATAACTTTGAAAACCGACAGCCTCATCTCTTAGGGTTGAACTCATATCGACCTGCTTGTCACTGTAATGCTGCAAGCTACGTACCCAAGCACTGTACAGTTTCCCAGATCCATCAGTGAATAATATTACAATAATAGATAATATGGTTCAGATGGAAGAAGGTTAATTGATGCAATTTGAATCATTTTTTTCCCATGGAAGAAGGTTAATTGATGCAATTTGAATCATTTTTTTCCCATTTATGAAAAATCTGGCTTGATTAAGTGGAACATTGATACTCAATGATTCAATGGCATGAATTTAGACTTGTGTGCTCAGCGGTGCACGGTATAACACCTGTAACAGTGTGCTCAGCGGTGCACGGTATAACACCTGTAACAGTGTGCTCAGCGGTGCACGGTATAACACCTGTAACAATCTCCAGTGCACAAACATGTTAATCTACTTTGCTGATATTTAAGTTTTGGCTTATTTTCAACACAAGAACTCTTTGCTTGTTAGCTGAGTAACTACCCCTGTGTATAAACTAAAAACCTCAGGGGAACAGTGGCACTGAGTGCAGTGTAATTCCCCTAGGATTTTTGCACAGTTTGGCCCCAGACATCTCAGCATCATTTGGGTATTCGTACTGTAAAAGTAATTTTAAAAAATTCAACCTTGATTTTTAGATCACGATATGTTCCAAGAATTGAGTCAACACCACCAGAAAACACTTGCAAATTTTGGTTTGTAAAAAGTGGAATCATGGTAACTTCACTTTAAAATATTGAGAAAAATTCATGCTTGGTTAAGAGTTTATCTTTCCTCTCATCTAAAATAATAGAAATAGATAACAACTCAGAGCCATCTTGTGCACTGCTTCCTCAAGGTGTTTTCAACTTGGCATTAAAAAATGGCCCTATCACTATGCAGTATCAAAGATGTATGTACCTCACACTGCCATCAATGAAATACAATCTCTGCTCATTGATCTGATAGCATTAAAACCTGTAATCAGTTACGCATTATTCCTTAAGGACCTACTTGAGCCCCCCCCCTATTCCCATGCCAGATCTGACATTAACGTCATTCCGTAGTATAAATGAGATTCCTCTCTTGCTGATGGTGTTGTTGTAAGTGTTCTTAAGGAAACGCTGCAGGCCACGCGTGACGTCAAATCGCCCACGATGGATCGATGCTACCCTGTCTTGAGCGAAGCGTCGTTAGTGTCGTGCTGAAGCTGGGCATTCATGTATTAATAAAGCCCCTCAAGGGAAAGCTAAGCTTAGGCCGTGGCGCAGAGTGTGGACTAGCTGTTTGAAAACCCTGTTAAAGATCACTCACGAAACAAACAGTTTACAAGAATGGCCATTTTCAGGGAAATGTTGATATTTTCTTATGAGATCCCCAACTTCGGTGTCTTGTTTGTGGAGCAGCAAAATCTTGTTTCCTTTCAAAAGCAAAATATGGACCAATTTTATCCTTATTATGCGTGACTTCCTCGAAACATTCTTAAAGTGCAATTCTACGGTAGGTGAAACTGCCCAATGTTACCAAATGATTCTACAATAACACGTGGCACACTATGCTCCTAGCCAACTTCAGTTTGCTTCAAAACATCACTATCTTTTGATGTTTATACAGCGTTCATTGGGAATGGCTTCCTAGTTTCCCACAAGCACCAGAATAGAGCTGGTGTAGCCCTTGAATTTTTATTGCTTGGTGAAGAAAGCCATTATGTGATCCAGTCTTAAACAAGTTAAAGTGTAATTAGTCAGGATTATTTTCTTTGGACTTTCCAAGTACTTTCCATTTGTAGCTAATGCTATTTCACGCACTGGGTTTCCTTCTCTTTGATTAAAAAGAAAGGAGATTTGTTGTGACGTCAGCTACTTTATTTTAAAATTTTATACATCATCAATGTACGTCATTACATTCTTTCAGTCCTTCCAAGTTGTCTCCAAATTAATTTGTCATTGAAGAAGAATGGAACCGAACGGAAGTCCATTTATGGTCCATTAGCACACCTTGCTAATCAAATTCCAAATGTTCCCCAGCTGCAGTGTTGTCAGACGGTAATTTAATCATGCATTGTAATTTATTCATTGCATTCAAAGCTTCTGACATTATGTGGGTTGGAAAATTCACAGCATGTGGGCAGGAATTTTGAGGGCCCCCCCCCTGGTGTATGTAAAAGCTGTCTGATTATCTGGTTGTAATGTTTAAAGTTACCATTATTACTGGATGTTATGGTGTAGTTGGTATTTTGTTTACATTTGAGTAACAAACGTAAGAAATAAAACGACTCTGTCAGCAGAAAGTTAGTTGAAAGGCATATTCAATATTCAATCTATATCTTTAATATTTGTAATGTTTTGTTATTGTTTCATTTTTTCTGTTATAGCATTATTATATATTTGTTTTAACCCTAACAGTCCCAAATCCTCCAATATCAATACGAGTTTACATGCACCCTTAGGGGTTAGGGTTACCATTTGGTTGATTTTGTATTATAGTTTGGGCAAGCATCTGGATTACAGAACCTCCGGGGAAGATGAGGCAACATTATTCAGAGTAATCTGTCAATGAAACAAATTGTGCAAAGGTTAAATGAGATGCGCTTGATCTTTAAAAAATTCTTTGGGGGGGTGCTTTTTTTTATTTTTCAGGGAATGTTTACACCTCCGCAGCTTTTTGAGTACTTCACTGACTTCAAGGAGGCAGATTATGAGACTCACTTGGCTCATGTCCACAGCCGCTTCTCCACAAACACGTTTCCAAGTTGGGAGAGGGCCCATCCCATGAGGTTGGTTTGTCAGTCAGTGTCCCTGTCTGGCTGTCTGCTCTGTTTCTTTTGTTGTCTTGTTTGTCTCGCAATGAACTTTGTATCTGCAAATGATACTCCATTCATCACTTTGGTGGACTCATTGGCATTGGTTTACAACGGCAGTGCAGCCAGTGGCTATGGGTGAATGTGTCCATGAGCAGGATACTTTATATCAATAGCTTTCCCCTACTCGGTGTACTTACACCTGCATGTGAAGGTGGAAAATATTTTGTTTAGTTCTGCTTGATATTGGAAATAACATTGCTTTTGGTATGATACACGGTATACAATTTGTGATCAGATGTGACCTTTGACTTTTGACCTTTCCAAAAGTATAAAAAGCTTTGTTTTTTGTAATTAAATGAAAACAGATACATATCTCACAATGGAGAGATCAACTCGTTGCGAGGTAACAGCAACCTGATGAACGCTCGCGAGGGTGTCATGTGCAGCACGGTCTACGGTGACCAGCTCAAAAAACTTTACCCTGTGGTGGAGAGTGGCATGTCAGACTCGGGACAATTTGATAACGTGCTGGAGTTCTTGATCATGGCCGGTGGGAGGAGCCTTCCGGAGGTGAGCAAGAGAGGGTTAGATTGTCCAACATAAGGGTTGGACGTGGAGATTAGGTGGGCAAAGCCAGAGCCAACCTGGTTTCAGAATTCTTGGGCAGTCATTCTTTCAACCTTCCATCGCATGTAGGCCAGTTCTTGATATGGCTCTGTTCAGTTAGACATTCTCTCAAGGATCTCAAGGCATTCTCTCAAGGATCTTAAGGACTGTAATGATAATACAGTTTTGTCCTTAAGATGTACATTGTACAGTATGGAGCTTAATCGGTTGACTTTTATCCGAAGCAAGATCTTTCTCCAGCTAAAGTAATCCATCTTGTTAATTGTCTTTGATTGGATGCGAACATTTCCAAAGTACTGTGTAGATTCTATTCATGTTCATTTTTGATTTCATCTCTCCGTTTCAGGCCATCATGACTATGGTTCCTGAGGCATGGCATAAAGATCATCTGATGCATCCAGACAAGAGAGACTTCTATCAGTGGGCTGCCTTTGCCATGGAACCCTGGGATGGACCAGGTAATTCTCTCCCCCCCCGCCCCGCCCCCCAGAAAAAGTCTCATTGTTATCAATTTGGTACCAAGAAAGCTTCTTTTTACCTTTTGGAAAGAAGTCAAGAAATCTGATTGGACATTCATAGAAATTCCTGTAGAATATGCTTTAGTTCACCATGTTTTGTTTTAATCCATTGTTTTCTTTCCATTATTTTGGTATCCATGTTGGTTTGTAGCCTTGTTCACATTCTCTGACGGTCGTTACATCGGCGCCATTCTTGACCGGAATGGCCTGCGTCCATCGCGTTACTATATCACTAAGTCAGGCTTCATGATCATGGGCAGCGAGGTGGGAGTCGTGGACGTACCTCACGCTGACGTAGCTCAGAAGGTAAACCGGGGCCATTCCAAATCTGACTTTTGGAGAAAGAGAATTTTGGAATTTAGGGAATAGGATTCAACTTTTAGGATTCTTTATTGAGACAGGGTTTGCACTGCACCTGGAATTCCTTGAACAAACTTTAAAAAAAAAGTTGATCCTCGAAAATTGTTGAATGTCCTGAAATTTAATAAAGGTCCTCTTGTTTTATCTTCATTTTAGTCTGTGAGTCAATTATTTACCATTATCACACGCAGGTTGTCACGTATCGCAAGTCCAAAAAGCCGTCATCTGCACCCCAGTAGTAGCTTTAGAAACCAGTGAGGTTGAATGGCCAGCTTGCTCTGTTTAATGCTATGAAATGGGGGGGGGGAATGCCGTGAAGGTACACTCATTCAGCTTTATACATGCCCCCCAAAGGTGTCACTGGTATTCCGCACTGCAGTCTGTGCGTACTATAACTAGTGAGTCAGCAGCACTGGAAAACCGGTGAGGCCAAACAACCTGCTTGCCCCATTGGCAACGTGATTGTATGTTCGTGTGCCAGTACTGCACATTAGCCTTGGTATTGTGCGGCAGGATTACGTGGGATGACATTTTGAAAAGTTGGTTTTCTCTGCAATTGAAGCGGTCATTTCTTTTCCATCTTTTCTGATGGAATGATGCCGAAGAAGGGACAATGTTCTTTCCGGGACAGTTGGCTCGAGCAGGATTCGTCACACTGCCCGATGCAGAGTGTGTAGTTAATGCATGCAAGCGAAGTCCATAATCATAGTGGGACCAAATGTGGCATGAAAGTCCTGGAAATTACGGGTTAACGACACCCGGAATGTCCTGGGAAAAAAATTCTCTGTGAGGTGTAGCAGATGATGTTGAAGTGTTACCCCTGAAATTTTTCCAACTGAAGGAGTTCTACAAGGGATATCCACCATTATTTACAAAAATATAACGGGATGTAATAGACACCCTCATGAATAGTTTGGTTTATGTCCAAGCAGTTTTTCTGTATTGGTACAGTGATTGTTATTTCTTTGATAGCTTGCATCATCGGTGTTGACTTTTTTTGTCAAATTATTTTGGACATGTTCATTTAAGGGTCGTCTTAAGCCAGGTCGAATGCTATTGGTTGACACGGTTGTCGGGGAGGTTACCAAGGACGAGGAGCTGAAGTTGAGAATTGCCAAGCAACGGCCTGTTGGCACCTGGCTGCGAGAGCAGGTCTTTACCTTATCCGACCTGTACAAGGCTCACAAGCCATCACCCTTGGCAACCAATCGGGAACATCCAACCGTTCAGACTGATCACCGCCTGCCCATGTTTGGCTACAGCGTGGAGCATCTAAATATGTTGATCGTCCCAATCATCAAAAATAAGTAAGCAACAGTGTTGAAAATATTCAGGGATTTTTTCTTTCTTCTTTGTGAATTTATTCAGACGTATTGCAGAAAAAAACCCTGTTGCTCTGAACGACTCCCTTTTCCATCTTTTGTACCTCTCTTGTGTGCAGTGACACATCCCAAGCATCTGATAAACTTGCAAGCCTTGTGCAGTTTGAAGAGTCCTCTTTATGTGTTGTCTTTAATTCAGAGTTGCATTCTCGTCATTTCCACACCAAATTGCCTTTTGTCCATAATATTTGGAAACTTTGCTCTCATTTGTTTGGGGTTTGACTATTGACTTTTCAGAAACGATCTTCGTTATCACTTTCTGCTTTATTGCAGGAAAGAGCCCCTGGGCTCCATGGGTAATGACATCCCCCTGGCCTGTCTGTCCGAGCGCAACCCTCTGGTGTTTGAGTACTTCAAGCAACTGTTTGCCCAGGTTACTAACCCACCCATTGACCCCATCAGAGAGCACATCGTCATGTCCCTGGTAGGTTGTCGCAAAAACTTGCCCTTACTTAGAAAGGAAGGTCTAATGGGAAAAATAGGGGCGACCTTTAAATTGTCTACCAGTTTGAATTGTTTACCTTAGCAAGCATATTTCATGCTTTTATGATAAACTCTGGTGACCACTTCATTCACAGACTTGTGAAGCACCATTTTTGCTACACTGTCCTTGTCTTAATGACATCACTGTCAAAGAGGGCTTCTGGCATTTTTGAACGAATCAGTTGTTTGTTGTGTTGGCCTAGGCGTGCCCCATCGGACCGGAGAGCAACATTCTGGAACCCAGTGAGCTCCAATGTAAGAGACTGTTCTTGGACACACCCATCCTGTCTCTGAGCGACCTGGAGGTGATCAAGGCAACCACATTCAGAGGTTGGAAGGTGGGTGTCTGATCTTTCTTGTTTTTATCACCCTGGATTTACCATTGTAACCTCCACCCCACCAGTATGACATCACTGCCTTGGAGATGCACCTAGCGCATTGAAGGCAAGGTGGAGGAACGTTGTTGAACGAGCTGTCATTGACACATTTTCTTTGTCAGGCCTTTTTGTGAATCAAGATTAAGCCATCAATTTTAGCTGTCACTTGCGACTTAGGCTAGTTAGGCACATAGAGAAAGTGGAGGCTGAATGTTTTCTTTAAGGTTTGTTAGAAATTTCCGGCTGAATGGGTATTTATTTCTAGCTCATTGCATTTGTCTCAACAAATTCATTTTTTATCAACAAACAATTGAAGCCAGTTTAGATTGGTTTTTGTTCCGTTCGTGCTTTCAGTCAGTCTCTAGTTTTATTCAACTTTCTATTGTTTGCTTTTTTCAGACCAAGACAATTGACATTACTTTCCCGATTGAGTCGGGCTCCTCTGGTCTTGTACCTGCACTGGACAGAGTCTGTAGTGAATGTTCCGCTGCTGTGGATGAGGGTTACACACTGCTAGTTCTGTCCGATAGGAATGCTGGACACGAGCGGATACCCGTCAGGTAACATTGCCGTTGGATTAAATGTTCTCCCAAATTTTCAGTGGTCACCATGAGAAGGCATGTCGGGCAGCTTTGTCAGTGTTTTTGAGTGTTTTTTTTTTTGGTCTCGTACAGTTCCCTGTTGGCTCTTGGCGCAACCCACCATCATCTCATCAAGACCCGCCAGCGGCTCCGTGTCGGCCTGGTTGTCGAGACGGGTGAGGCCCGTGAGATGCATCACATGTGTCTCCTCCTGGGCTATGGGGCTGATGCCATCTGCCCCTACCTGGTCTACGAGAGTGTACATAGCCTGCGAGACCAGCACCTCCTCGGGGAGCAAGGGGAAGCAGGCGACTACACGGACAAGGAGATCGCAGAGAGGTTCATGGTTGCCACCGGGAAGGGTATCGCCAAGGTGATGGCCAAGATGGGTATCTCCACTCTACACAGCTACAAGGTATGAAACAACCATTATAACTTGTGAAGACATTTGTACATCTTTTGACCTTAAGGGGTCAACCATGTGTCCCATATTGGCCAATCAGATCACCTGAGGCAGATTTTGTCTCTGATATTTGCAGGGAGCTCAGATCTTTGAGGCCGTGGGGCTGGGGCAGGAAGTGATTGACAAGTGTTTCCTCGGCACGGCCTCCAGACTGGGCGGAGCTACGTTTGAAGTTCTTGCGGAAGAGGTAATTCCTTGAGTTGGACAAGTTTGCTTTGTGTTTATACACAGGTGATAATTATTCAATGTTACCTTTTGCATGACAACGATTGGGTATCGACATTTGCATCAATATGGGATTGCTTTCACTACTCAGGCTATCCAGCGCCACTTCATCGCGTATGCAGATCGTGATGGTGACATCATCACCAGTCTAGAGCCGGGACAGTACCACTGGCGCAGCGGGGGAGAAAAACACATCAATGACCCACTGAGCGTGGCCAATCTGCAAGACGCTGCACGCAACAAGAATCAGACGGCTTACGAGAAATACCGCGAGTCTCAAGAAGCAGTAGTGAGTTCCTTCAGTTGGTTACAGGTTTCTTGCGGTAACCGAAACGGTGAAATTCAAGGCCCAAACTCTGAGAAACACACAGTGTGCCGTGTTGTGTATTTACAGTGTGTCGTCACAAAAAGTTGCAAAGCTTCATCAGATCTAGCAGTTCCTGTCATTCAGTATTTTCTTCATTCCTTTCATTTTGCATCATCTTTTGGCTTATCGTGAATCCATTAAAAATGTTAAAACTCAATAAAAATTTCTTTTCTTTCATCAGATCAAAGCTTGCACCCTAAGAGGTCAGCTGGTGTTCAAGAAATCCCCCACTCCTCTCGAACTGTCTCTAGTTGAGGAGGCGGCGAGCATCGTCAAGCGATTTGTGACAGGGGCTATGAGTTTTGGCAGTCTGTCCATTGAGACACACACAACACTCGCACGAGCCATGAACAAGTGAGTATTCAAGATTCAATGTATCAGAGAAATCAGATTTTAATCACGAAAGTTTAGGACTGAAACACGGTATCTGTAAAAGGAGTAATCCTCCATCAAAATCTTCAATTGTAGGATTGTCATTCTGGAGAATATTGTTCCTTACGCATTTTGAAGGAAGTGACCCTTCTCATTTTGTGCGACAAAGCCCCCAACTCGTTCCATGAAAGTGGGCAAACTTTTTCCCAGACTTCAAGCAAAAGCCAAAGAGGCAAGTTTGTGATATCCCCAAGGTGTTGGTGCTTTAGCTGGTGAGCACATTTCAACTTTATTGAAGTTTTTCTGCAGATGATGCATGAGGATAATTTCGCATTCATCTGCGGCATAAAACCTTCATGCCGTTGGAGACGTGATAGACTGGTCGAAATGAAATGGCCGATATTATAAATATCGGACTCGTTTGTTGTGTGTGTTACAGAATTGGAGGTAAAAGCAACACGGGGGAGGGCGGGGAACGTGAAGATCGCTACGTCTGCGATGACCCCAGCAACAGCACGCGCTCCGCCATCAAACAGGTCGCATCGGGACGGTTTGGAGTCACAACCTCCTACCTGGCTCATGCTGATGAGCTGCAGATCAAGATGGCACAGGGAGCCAAGCCCGGGGAAGGAGGTGAACTACCAGGCCATAAGGTATACAGAACTTTTAGCTAACCCTTAAGCAACAAAGTTTTTATATCACACGTAATTTCTTTTGTAAAAATAAGGTATCTGGAAATGAGTTAATAGTTGATTTGTTTCCATTTCTAATTTTTACCCCTTCACATTTCCCCATCACTTTTCTTTGAACACTTTTGTTTGTCTCCTGTCTTCAATCAAAAATTACAGAAAAAGTTCTAACAGTACATGGATTCAATGATGGGATTTCTTCCTTGAGGAATCTGTTATAGAAAATCTTAGATAAAAGATTTGGAAAAGGTATTTTTAATCAGATGTTTGAAATTTGAAAAGGTTATTTTTGAATTCATGAATGATACTAAAGTTTGCTGAAAATTTTCCTCCTGAATTTGAAAAGGTTTTCTCTTATTTGAATGACGGTGATCGTTTTCAGAAGCTTGATTTCATGGAGACGTTTTATGGTTAAACCCATTTTATTGTGATGTCTCCTACTTTTATCCAGGTGTCTGATGACATTGCCAAGACCCGCTCCTCGATTCCAGGGGTGGGGCTAGTCTCCCCGCCCCCTCACCACGACATCTACTCGATCGAGGACTTGGCAGAGTTGATCTACAACTTGAAGTGTGCCAATCCAGAGGCTCGGATCAGTGTCAAGCTGGTGTCAGAGGTCGGAGTTGGGGTGGTGGCTGCCGGAGTGGCAAAGGTAACAAATCCCAAATCAAAATCAGAATTAATTTCATCATTTAAAAAATCCCTGAAGAAAACAATTTGTAGAAATCCAGTATGATTTCTCTTTCAAATTTGAGCAAACTAGAAGTGATGAAACTTTTAGTATTATTTCTTTAATGACGAGAGTTAGTGCGGAAGTTTTGTGGAAACCAAGTGCTCAAAAGTCTCTTGCGTTTTTGAGTTGATCTGGAGAAAGTGAAGAGCCACCAAAACATTTGATGACAACATCAAATTGTTAGATGTTGCTGCCTGTATTGCAGATTTCAGGTTGAATTCAAGTCAGGCTTAGTAATGAAACAATTTTTATAAACACAGTTCTTTTTGCTCAGATTTGCTCAATATTTATGTGTTTCTTTAACTTGATCAGTATTTTATATTTTCTAGTTGATGATGTCTTTTACAAGCAAATTCAAAATTTCTGTTCCTATTGTATCAAAGGGCCTTGCTGAACACATCACCATCTCAGGCCACGATGGCGGAACGGGAGCCAGCACATGGACAGGCATCAAGCATGCAGGGTTGCCATGGGAACTAGGCCTGGCCGAGACCCACCAGACACTAGTGATGAGTGACCTGAGGTCGAGGGTCAAGGTGCAGACAGATGGACAGCTCCGAACAGGTAAACTGAAAAATGAATGCCGAAGAGATCAAGAAGAGAAACGGAATGGTGTTCTTGGATAGTTGACCAATTTCATAGCGTCTGCCTGCAGGTCGTGATGTCGTGGTAGCGGCTCTCCTGGGAGCGGATGAGTTTGCATTCTCCACGGCTCCGCTCATCACTCTGGGTTGCATCATGATGAGGAAGTGTCATCTCAACACCTGCCCCGTTGGCGTGGCGACACAGGTAAGAATAATCCACTGCTGATTTGGTTGTTGATGGGGGCGCTTTTAAAGAAACTGATCAATTTCTTGTAGTCAATTCTGCTTGAACTCTGAAGATAAGAACTTGAAGATGATAACTGGATGATTTCTTGAGTTGAATCATTTTTGGATATTCCTCTTCAAATCTTATTTCCCACGCTGTCTGCCTGTTTCATTGTGACTGCTAATTTTGGAACTGTTTTAGATAAATTTTTATAGCTTTCCTGAATTGTTTTCATGTAAAAGGAAAGAAGAAACAAGTGTCTGGCTTAGTTTTGCTTGTATTTGATCTCATACTTTGGTCAGTAAAACTTTAACTTTGACTGTTTTTAGGATCCTGAGCTTCGTAAGAAGTTTGATGGCCAACCGGAACATGTCATTAACTACTTCTTCATGCTCGCCGAGGAAGTCCGCCAGCACATGGCACACCTGGGCTTCCGTACATTCCAGGAAATGATCGGGCGCTCAGATAGGCTCGCAGTCGCTGAGCAGCTGGCCAATGACAAGAGCCGTCTCCTAGACTTTGAGAAGATCCTTCAGAGGGCAGATGAGATGAGGCAGGGTGTCAACATCACTGGGGGCAGCGTCGCCCAGAATTTTGAATTGGAAACCCGACTGGTAAGTAAACTGTTTGTAAAGTGGATTTTTGAATCAAGCAATTATGACAACACGAAGCAACACTTGGCGTTTGCTGACCTAATAGACAATGAACTTTCGCACATGATGGGTCTCTGCTTTTCAGGATGGTAAGTTAATTGAGGCAGCACAGGACGTTATCGATGGCAAGAAAGATCACGTTTCATTGGACATGAAGATCACCAGTCAGAGCAGAGCATTTGCCACCACACTGAGTTTCCGCATCGCCAAGTAAGTCAGGATGCAGTTACGTAAATTGTTTTGTTTTGTTTAAAAATCTGGTGTGGTTGTATTTGATAAAACGGAAATTATCATTTGCATGGAAATTACTCTCAAAAAAGATCACTTTGGGAATTGTCCCCGTGGTTACTGAAAACTGAAACTAAACTGGAAGTTTATTTGAAATTTAGCAGGTGTTTCCACTGACCGGGAAGTACTTATAATTTCTTAGTGATATCGTAGTCTTATTAATTTCAATCATTCTGCTCACACACAGTTCCATTTTTGCCTTGCTGTGTCCAACAGGTAAATTCATTTTGCTTCAGTGTGGTGTCTTTTTCTTGACCTTGTTTCTTTAATCATGTAACTAATGTTTCTTTGGTCTGCAGAAAGTTTTGTGACCAGGGTTTGCCGGACAAGTCCATTGAGATCAGGCTGCGTGGGTCAGCTGGCCAGAGCTTCTGTGCATTCCTGGCCCATGGCGTGTACGTAGAACTGGAGGGCGACGCCAATGACTACGTTGGCAAGGTAACCAACACCCCTCCCCCAACTTTTGGACGCTTATTTTTGTCGTTGTTTGCATTTCTGTGTATATTCTGACTGAGACAAATCCAGTGATTTATGCTTACAACCTTCATAGAAAACACTCCGTGCATTGACTGTACGTCATTTTCGCTGCTTGCTTTGCCCTGAATTTACACGTCCTGTCAAAGAATTTATCCCAAGATGCTGTTGTATGTGTTACACCCAAATCTCATGTACTTGTGTCTTTTTGCCGATTAATAACAGAAATTGTCTACTCTCACAAGAAAAGACCACTTCTTTTGAATACCTTTGTAAGTGTACACTCGCCTTCAGCTGTGCAAAGAATAATTTTTATTCAGTGCTGTCACAAGTCTGTCAGGCAGTTTTCAGAGTGAACCCTGAGCTGGACCAAGAGAGGGTGCAATTTTCCTAGCAACGCTGGCTCCTTTGGTCAGAACTGCACTCTGTTGATTCATGGGCGACTGCGAAATATACACATTATGGGCAAGTCGCTACCAGCAAAATGAACACTCCCAACCAACATGGCTATTTTTCAACCAATGACAGAGAGCTTCTGCTCGAGGCGTCCTCTAGCATTCAGGTCGAAAAGTACAAACCACGTTCGCGGTCATTTACGTCTTTTGTCTATCTTTCTTGTAGGGTTTGTCAGGAGGCACTGTGGTCGTTTTTCCACCCAAGGACATGCCAGCCGACTTCAAAACGGAAGAAAACATCATCGTGGGCAACGTGTGCCTGTACGGAGCAACGAGAGGAACTGCTTACTTCAGGGGCGTGGCAGCAGAGAGATTCTGTGTCCGAAACTCTGGTGCAACTGCTGTGTGTGAGGTACCTAATCAGGAAATAGCAAAATCCTGAAGATGTGTGTTAAATAGAATTTTATTGTTTTTTTACTTGTAACCTGTCTTTGTACACAAATGAAGTCATCACAAAACAATCTAGGCTTGAATTTTAAGGAGTTTCTTTTTCCTTTTTTTCCAGGGTGTAGGAAATCATGGTTGTGAGTACATGACTGGTGGACGGACTATCATTCTGGGCCCAACTGGTTGTAACTTTGCGGCTGGAATGTCAGGAGGAATCGCCTATGTTCTTGATAGGTAAAATTCTATTCATTAAACCGGGCTTATGCAGTTTGAATTTCCTCCATTCTCAATGGACTCCACCTCCCAACTATGTCTTATTTTTCTTCCTTCGATTTGATTGGACTTGTTTACATTTGGAAGTAATGTGACTTGAACTGACCAAGGTGTCATTTTAGCACTTTGATGAAGTTTCCAGTTCTTATTTTTATCAATTTTTTATAGTACTTGAAAAAAGGTTTCATTTTTCAAACGTTGCTTTTTATTGTAACCTCATCTTTTCCTCCAGGTTGGGACAGTTTCCTGTCCTCTGTAACAAGGAGTCAGTCACCCTTCGTCCAGTTACCAAGGCGATAGATGTTACTTTCATCCAGGAACATCTCCAGAAGTTTGTTGAGCTGACCGGGTCAAAGGTCGCTGCTAAGGTCCTCGACAACTGGGATGAGGAAGTTCAGTATTTCGTCAAGGTAAACTTTTTGGAATTCATGTAAATTCTGGAAAAGAATTTTTCCAGCAGAGACGAGATTTTGTTGCATTATGGAGCAGCCTGATAATGGATATTTAAAAAATATTCAGCCAGTTGTAAGTAAGATGGAGCAGTTGTTTCATTTACTTCATATTTTTCCCAAGAAAGTTACCCTAAATTGACTGTAATCTCTTAAAACTTTTTTAGGTCTTCCCTGATCAGTACAGAGATGCCCTTCTCAAATTGAAAGCCACAAACCTTGCCAGGCAAAGGGAGGTGGAGCCAGCCAGTCAGCCGCTGACCAATGGAGTCACAAATATGAATGGTCCAACCAATCAGAATGGACCTCTGGAAATCAATGGGGAGAGACCAACCAATAAGAAAACAGAACCCAAAGTGATTGACATCGAGGAGGCCGTACCCGATGCCGAGATGGGAAAAAAGAACCTGGAGCGAGTTCTGGACAAAACAAGGTACTTGAACATCCTCGGCTGTCAAGATGATTCTTGAGTGGTTGTAATTTGTGTTACAGAGTTTATAAGCTTCAAACTGAATTCTTTTCCAGGGGTTTTGTGAAATATAAGAGGAACAACCAACCTTATCGGAAAGTAGCAATGCGAATGAAGGACTGGGGTGAAATCTATGACCACAAAGCCGTAAAGAAGGAACTACGCACCCAAGCAGCAAGGTAGTTATTTTCAGTTATTTCAATCTCAACCTTCCTGTTTTGTCTAGCCAGAGCTTGTATTTTGCCGTAATTTTTTTCGAAAGAAGAGCGTCAAGATACGGGGACAAAGATTAATTTGCTTTTTTTTTCTTCCTTTTTTACTTTGTCCCATAGATGTATGGACTGTGGTACCCCTTTCTGTCAAGGTCACACCGGCTGCCCCCTTGGCAACATCATCCCCTCCTGGAATGACCTCGTCTTCAGAGGTCAGTGGCAGGATGCCCTCGAGAGGCTGGAGGTCACCAACAACTTCCCAGAATTCACCGGAAGATGCTGCCCTGCTCCCTGCGAGGTGAGACTCCAAGCAAAATAAGATATCTTCTTCCTTGCTGTATTTTTGTTTGTGGCTATTTAAAAAGGTCATGAAGGCATCGCCAATTTGTCATGACCTGTTGTAAACTTGTGAAAACTTTGGGAATGTACCACTATGTTGAAAGGAATTTCAGGAGGATATGTGGAAAAAAACATAGGAATGTACAAAAACTAAGTAGAAGTTGCATTGAAATGATGCAGTCAATTATAAGGACTCCAGAAAACCTGATTTTGTTTCTGTTTGTGACTGTGCCATTTCAGGTTAGCATAAAATATATTCTTATCAATATCTTCGTGATTTTTTTTTCATCCATTCCCTTGATATGAAATCAGTCAAGAGACTAATGCAGTAAGCATTTTTCGTGAATGTTCCAGGGAGCTTGTGTCCTGGGCATCAATGCACCAGCAGTCACCATCAAGAACATCGAGAATGCCATCATCGACCATGCCTTTGAGCAAGGCTGGATGGAGCCCCGCCCCCCAACCTTCCGCACCGGTAAAACCGTGGCAATTGTCGGGAGCGGGCCATCAGGTCTAGCGGCCGCGGCCCAGCTGAATAAAGCCGGTCACCAAGTGACGGTGTACGAGAGGAATAACAGGATTGGTGGTCTGTTGATGTACGGGATACCAACGATGAAGCTCAGCAAGGCAGTAAGTATAACAATCCTCACCCTCTCTTAGCCATGTGTGCCTCTCTACGTCACTTGAATTTTGGGGGGAGGAACTCCACTTTAAGACAAGTAGGAGTGTTGTGAACTTATCTTACAAGAAATCCAAATTCAAGATTTTAATTGGACAACCAAGTTATGCAAAAATAAGTTGACTTCAATTTTTTTAATTATAGAAATGAGCCCTTGACTGGAAGCATTACAAACTTTCTTCTTACCTCTGTCTATCCTTTGACTGCGTGTTTCTAGCTTGGTGATATCAGCCTGGAAGTTTCAGATCTTGTAGACTGAATAATTGCATTCCTGTAGGAATGAACAATAAAGTTCTTGGACACAGTTGTGTAGTGTGGTTAGTGTTTATGTTCCATTTCTTGACCAGGTCGTTCAGCGTCGTGTCAACCTGATGCAAGATGAAGGGATTCGGTTTGTGACCGATGCCAACGTGGGCGACACTGTCAGCCCCAAACAGCTCCTACAAGACCATGATGCATTGCTTCTCTGCCTGGGGTCCACACGCCCCCGCGACTTGCCCATACCTGGTAAGAATGTGATAGTAGGGACCAGTCTTAACTATAAATACAGTTCAGCCATTCTGTTGGTCAAGAGCCCATCTTGTGGCTGGTTATAAAACAATTAATGAAGCACTGGCTGGCTTTGTGCCACCTTGGGCAGTATGCATCCTTTGCAAGCCAATCTCCTTATTAGGAGATTGTCTATGACTACTCACGAGAGGAACATACCACAACATGGCTAGAGGGGTGTATGAAGGACTGAAGGGAATTCGTAATTTTTGAAACTTGTTTCTACTTTGAGTCAAAGGAATTTATAGATGGAATAAATTGATGCTTGACCGGTTCGTTTAAGACCGGCTCAGGAGAATGGACACCAAGAAAGTCCTTCCAGCCTTTTACAAATACGGGCCAGGCATATATTTACTTCCTAAAAGGTGACCATTATTTACAACTCTTGCTCGTCTCACTTCACGATTCCGTATGGCGCCCTCAACTGAGGTGCACAGACTGGATGAAAGATTTCCATTCATTTCAAAAGATTGCCAAAATGTAATGGTGATTTGCCTTAAAACATTAATCAGGCCGTGACCTTGAGGGCATCCATTTTGCGATGGATTTCCTGGGACGATGGCAAAAGCGGCAAATGGGTGACAACAGTGATTACATCAATGCGAAGGGCAAGGACGTCATCATCATCGGTGGAGGCGACACTGGGGTGGATTGTATTGGAACGTCACTGCGTATGGTAGGTGGAAAAGCCAAACATCATGTGAATAGTTCTAACCAGTCTAAGTGGTTACCCGCTAAAAGGCAGTGTAATTATTACCATGAGTAGCTGGTGCTCAATGGAACTGCTAGCTTTAAAACTTAACTTTGTATTTACCATGTTTGGCCTTTTTTAACAATAACTTCAAAGGTTACAAGTTGATATTGATGAAATTCTTGATAAGATTTTGTGATGCCAGAAAAGGAGTTGTCTAAACTGTTTTCCAATCATCATTATTGGTTGGATTTCAAATAGTGTTTGTTATATGCTTGTCGTCTTTGAAAGGGATTCATTAGGCTCTTGCTTTATTGAAATTCTTCAATGAAATATGGATGCTTTGAAAAATGCATTTCCAAATTGTAATTTTTTGAGTTCTTGTAGAAGAAATCACAACACGTGCTCCCTTGTTAGTGTGAGTGTATCCTTCAAAGTTTCAAATCTTTCAAATGACATATACTGACCACTAGAATTCAACCTCCATCCCACCCAGGATGCCAAGAGTATTACCACCTTTGAAATCCTCTCACAACCTCCACCCGCGAGGGCCAGGAACAACCCTTGGCCCACCTGGCCTCGGGTCCTGAGGTTTGATTACGGCCACGATGAGGTCAAGCTGAAGCATGGACATGACCCCAGGAACTTTGATATCCTGAGCGAGGTGAGACAGTCAACACGTTTTTTTTTTATTTCAAATTTCTGATCCAAACTCTTAAATCTTGTACATGTTTTGAAGAATGGGACAATAATTCTTTGCCTCTGTTTGCAGGAGTTTCTGGATGATGGTAAGGGGCGGGTGGCGGGCATCCGCACCATCAAGGTAGAGTGGAAACGTGAACCGACAGGTCGCTTTGCCATGGAGAAGATCCCAGGCACAGAGAAGACCTTCCAGGCTGATTTGGTCTTCCTGGCGATGGGGTTCCTAGGGCCCGAGAACAGCATCATTAACCAGCTAGCGTTGGATCAAGATCCTAGAGCTAATATTGAGACGTCCGCCGGCAAATATAGGACCAGCCTTCCAAGGGTTTATGCAGCTGGAGGTAAGATCTTGCTTTCTGGAGTATTTGTCTTTGTAGATGGGTTGTTAAAATTATACCACCAGTGATTTGCCTTTGCTTAAGGACTGCAAGTTGATCAATTTTATAACGCTGCCAGTTTTTAGGATTTGAGATTTGGCGTAGTCATGCTGTATCTCTGGGTAATTCACAAAGAGGGAGAAATGAAAGCAATTGTGTTGTGGAAAGTATGAGTTAAATTTGCTTTGTATTAACGTTTGCTTAATCTATGAATTGTACGTTAGAGACTGGCAAATATTTTCCCAGGAATTGTCCTCTAACCAGAGACATTTTGCAAACTTGAAATGCACTTTTGGAAGTGTGGGTCCAACAAGTTGTGTTGAATTAGATACTCTCTCAGTTTCTTTTCAACCCATGAAAAACTGAACAGCTTTAAAATGTGCATTATTTGTTTGTCGGCTCTTCTCTGTTTAAATGAAGTCCTGACAAATTGGTTATGAAAGCATTCTTTGTTTTTTGTGTCCTTAGATTGTCACCGCGGTCAGTCGCTCGTGGTCCACGCCATCAATGAGGGACGGCAGGCAGCACGGGAGATTGACCTAGACCTGATGGGTCACACATCCCTGGCTGGCCCTGGTGGTGTGGTCTTCACCCCTGGCGTCAAAGTGGACAAGACCAAGATGGCAGCTATCAAGAACCAACCCATGGTGGAATGTGTGGCTTGAAGGGTCAGTGGAGAATGTAAGGGGGGGTGGGGCAAGAGGAATGAATATTCATGAGATGAAGTCATTGTTGCACGTGATTGGATCGAGCCAGGTGTGGACAATGTCATTTACATTACTTTTCCCTTTCCATTGTATATAGCGCCCTCAGGCAGCAGTGCACGAAGGTGATGGGCCAAACTCAACTTGCTCGTTGTGAATTTTTTCTTTCCTTCACTGAAATCATCTTAGCTGGATCAGAGATCAAATTCACCATAAGTACAATAACGCACAAAATTTCCTAGTGATTTTCTGTTGTACCTGACCAAGTTGTGGTGATATTTTACCCTAGAAATGACGGTGCTGATTACACATTGTTGACGTGGCGCCCTCCTGTGGTGACAACTGAAAAACTGATCAGGTCTCCAATGCGTGAGGAAGAAAATTCTGGTTTATTCCCGCAGTCTGAAGGTCTGCTGTCCATTATTGTGTGGTCATGTGTACATAAAGAAAGAGATGACAGAATTCTTCTTAATATTTCTGCAGCAATAGTCTATTTTTAAGTGTTATGAGTTTAAATTCCGAGGTGAAACCTTCTTTTGCGTTTTAATGTTTTCAGCATATTTCTCTGCTTGAAATAACTGTCAGCAAATTTTGTAGTTGATTCTTGTTCATTTTAAAAATAGAACATATTTCTTGTTTCCCAAGTATTTCAGATTGATGAGAGACAGTGAGATGCATGATGGTCTAGAAGGGATGGGCGGTGCCTCACTCAGAAAGGGGGGGAGGTGAAATATTGTCTGGAAGATCGCAATGTTTGTTAAGCAGACTTGTGATGACATGTTGGAGCTAGAATTGCATATCGAGAGTCTTGCGTCAGCTTCAGGTTTTAGAAACAAAATAGCTGTTCATTATGCCTACAGTAGAGCATGCGGCTACTGCATACCAGTTGTCTATGTGCGCCTGTGCATACACCTGTCAGCTTGTTTCCAACCACTGTGAAACTCGTGTCACAACTCTCTCTTCACACAGCTCTGATTGGAGCTGCCTCTAATCTTTGGTTCGCTGTGTTTATCAAATGTTTGTTATACTTGGGTTCTATGCTCAATCAATGCAATGCTGAGGAAAAACTTGAAGTAATTTGTTTCTAATCTTTAAATACCTGGAACTATACTGACAGATGAGAAGACACAGACCATGAATATCTAGACGTGTCTTCCAAGTATTCTCTTTTTTCAATCAATCAATCAATCTTATTTCTGCCTTCACTTCCATGAAATTTCTTTTACTTCTTCAATACTTGCAATACTTTCAAACATTTGAAGTACAGTGGCATTTGTTTTAATGCTGTTTCTCTGATTTAATTTTGATGTGGATGTGTCTGAGTACGAATAACTTGGACACTTCATTGGTGATGAAAACGCTGAATTTTAAAGAACGTTTATTGACCTTCCTTTATGAATGTATTTAGAATTTATACATTTCAATTTATCATGTGATCCTGCTTTCTCTTAATCATTACATAGAATTTTAAATGGTTTTTCAAGTTTATTCACACTGGTGTTGTCAAACATCCATTGAACAGTAACGTTTGCTTGACTGATACTATGAGAAGTCTTCAATTCAAAAGGGTATCAAGAGGCTGAAGTGAGAAAATGTAGGTAAACATACATTATCTAACCATTGATGTTTGATCTCAGAATTTCTCGATAAACATCGACTTCATTAGATATGCCTTTTCAAATGTAGATTTTCAACTATATATTTCCTTGAAAAAGCAGTCTTGCATACGAATCTGTACCTTGCCAAATGGCTCAAACATTTTAAATTCCTAATGCATGTAATAGAGTGGTTGATGGGATTCACATTCTATGAAAGATGAATTGTATGTGATATTCTTTACGTACTTCATTTATGAAAATTGCTCATATTGTCTTATGTTTGTCTTGTAACAATCGTTAGATACATGTAGCTGTCTTCATCACTTATATTAGTATATCTTACAGGGACTGAATGCAGGGAAACCTTTTCCCAATGACTCAAAACAGACAATACGGTAATTAGAGTTTAACATACTGCTTGTTCAATATTTCAGTGTGCCTCATTAAAACAATCTGGGCACCTTCAAAATGTACAATAGCCCTGTTTCCATTTATCAAGTTCCCTAGTGTGTCTCATGTCATCCTGTTGAAACCCAATACTCCACATTTTTGGCCTTGTATTACTCTTGCAGGTGTCATAATGAAGTACCCAAAATGGACTAGTGGTTATAGCCTGAAGCCCAAAAGAAACATGTTTTCATTATCTG